CCCCCCCCCCCTTATTAGCGTTGATTTTGTAGCGTGGGATCCCCACGCCACAAAAATTAAATAATAAAAAAAGGCAAATTTAAAACTTTGATGCCAACTGCCAATCAAACTACGTGGTGTCTATAGTTTGTGTTCGGTGACGTGGAAATATAAATAATTTATTTAAAGACTAAAAAAATTAAAAATGAATTTAAGCTCTATTTTTGAACCGTTGACTTTACTTTAATCATCTTACAGACTCATCAAAACCAACGTCTTTACGGCTGACGGTTCATTGCATGTGGTGGAGGTGCGACACAGCAAATAACCCGTCATTCAAAAATTTTGCCCGCCAAAAACTAGAAAAGACCTATACGTTGTCGTTTGCAAGACATGTAGATGAAATCCATTGGGTGGGGATGAAAGGGCAAAAGGGTAAATTCATATAACGTAACAACAAAAATTTAATGGACGCACATTAAATTTTCCATCTTATTAAGGAATCACGAGAAAGACATGTTCGCCTCAACCCCATAAAAAACATATATTATATAATAAAGATGTAGGTGTATACACAACACCCTTTATTAATTTATATCATATAACCAAACCCATCTACACACAATTATTAGATGTACCGTATATGATTAAGGAAAATAATAATAAAGAAATAATCTTAAAAAATCTGAAATTAAAGCTGTAAAATTATTTGCAATGATGGTTTGGATGAAGTAATTATTATTTACATGAATTAATCGGTTTTTAGTAATTATTTAGAATTTAATTATATTGGTTAATATAATTATCTGCCTCTTTTTAGCCTCGTGTTCATCAAATATTAAATGACTTTTTTTTTTTTTGGTGTATAATGCAATCATTAGATAATTTTTTCTGAGATTTGCTGCGGTTTTTAATGAAAATAATGTCGGTATTATAACGTTACAATTTTGAATAATTTGTAATGTTAATTATAATAGTATCAGTATTCAAATTTTAATTAATTAATTACTAATATTGTTGGGAACTTCCAATCAGAAATTGTCAGTTTGTTCACTGTTTTTAACTTGCACTAAAATATCCGCTCCCTATAGCCTCCAAACAATTAATATATATTTATTTTTAACGAAATTAATTATGACGACTATTTTAATTTTAATAATTTAATTTTCTATTTTCAAGGTTCAATTAATCATATTTCTGTATTTAATAAAAATGAAAATTTCATTTTTCATTTTTTTTTTTTGGGGTAGAGAGTAAATCCCTTTCTATAAGTGGCAGATTGATTGAACCTCCACTGGTGAAATTATATCCAATTCACCGTAAAAGGAAAAGGATTAACTTGACCAGGAAAGTAACTTTGGTCACCATTTACCAAAGTAAAAAATAGTAAAAAAAAAAAAAAAGTTAAAAAAATCTTTTGCATATATAAATAATATAAAATTCTGGATAAAAACAAAATAGAAACACTGTTTCTTTTTCTTCTTTGTTTTTTTTTTTTTAAAAAAAAAAAAAAGAAAAGTGAAAAAAAGTAATTAAAAAAAAAAAAAGAAAATCCTGAAGCATCCACTGTACGTTACTTTATTAAAAGTGAGAGGATACGTGAAATATTTTTTAGGCATATAATAACACGTAGAGGCTTATTTATCCTCACGAGAAAATCCTCTTCCCGCCTTCCGTCGTCTTCAATCTCATCTCATCTCATCTCCACTCCCTCACAAAAATCAATGCTACTTCCAGAATGAGAGCGAGACCAGATTCTTCTTCTTCTTCTTCTCTGCAAATGGACACGCCGGAGAAGATCCAGATCGCTAACCCTCTCTCTAAATTCGAGGTAACCTTTCTTCCATTTCTCGTCTCCATGCTCAATTCTCACAAAAACTGCCCTCAATTTCTTGCCTTTGTTGGTTTTAGTGGCTTCTTCTGCGTTTGTTTCTTCAATTTTGCAAGTTTTCTGGTAATTGTTTGTGTCTTGAGACTTTTGATTTTTCTCCAGTGTGTGCTTGCAGGTAATTGGATCTTCGACCTTGAGCAATATAATGGTTTTTCTTTCTGTGCTTTATGGTTTTTTCCTTCTCGTGCTTTTCTAGTTTTTGAAATTCATCGTCTTCTACTTAGTTACCGGAGAATTTTCTTATTTACTGGGGGACATACCTTCGTTTCCAATTATCAAAGACAATTAAGATATGTCCCACCTTCCCCTCGAAAACTTTCGTAAAATTATTATAAATTTGAGTTAATACAGAAAGCAGAGTTCTCTCCCTGATTTCAAATTCTTCTCTTTTAATCAGTTTTTTCTGCATTTCAGCATTTCTTTTTTTTTTCTTTTTTAACTCAAAATTCATATTGATTTTGCTTGTGCTGGTTTCTTTTTTAGATTTTTATTGGTGCCAGATTTTCCCATTGATTAACTAATTGTCTGTAGTGTGTATTCTAACCATCACTAAGTGCGTATGAGTAGATGTTGTTACAGTTTAGATCTAAAGGTATTAATTAGAAAGGAAAATTATGTTCATGCATGATTTGTTGATAAGGAGATTTCCCTGCAGGATTCCCCTGTTTTTAACTACATCAATAATCTGTCGCCTATCAAACCAGTGAAATCGGTACACATTACTCAAACATTCAATTCCCTCACATTTGCATCTCTTCCATCTGTTTTCACTTCTCCGCATGTCATCTCTCACAAGGAATCTCGATTCTTTACAAGGTAATAAATTAACCTCCTTCCTCATTCTGCTAAGTTTTGTCTCTTGTTCCACTCTCTGCTTTTCTGCCTCTTCCTTGTGTCAACAAATTTTCTTTGCAGGCATATCTCTTCAGATCCACCAAAACCTGAATTTTCATCTCAACATCACACTAAACTTGGCAAAAATGAGGCTGTTGAGGATGCAGGCCAGCTGTATGATAATTCAGCCGACCTACCCAAAAATTTTGATCCGGGGGTTTCCATTGGAGAAGCTTCTACTGAGGCGCCAAACGAGCAATCAAAGTTTGCTATTGAGCTACCACGAACGTTAAAATATGATTGTGGTAGCCCAGATTGTGATACAATTCCTTGTGTCCTAGAGACAAATAATGGTAAGCCCCATTCTAATGGAGCATCAGTATCGCTTGTTCCTTTTGTTCGACTGGATTCTGAAAAGGTAGAGGCTACAAATGAAGCTACGGGATGTGATTGGGAGAGTTTGATTTCTGATGCTGCCGACCTACTGATTTTCAGTTCTCCGAATGATTCTGAAGCTTTTAAGGGCCTAATTCAAAAACCACTGGATCCTGATGTAAAATTTTCATCTCTTAGGTCCCAGGTTCCCCAAACGATGCTTACAAGTGTAGTTGTTTCCAGTTCCAGTGAGCCACAAAATGAGCCCTCCCGAACTGCAGAAGCGAGCAAACTTGGGGACAAGGTGCTAGAGAATATAGGCAATACTTGTATGAATAAGTGTCTGCATAGCAATCTCACTGGTCAGGTGAATAATGAGTTGACAACAAGCATTCCATTTCCTTGCGAGGTAAAAACCTGCGACTCATTTTGGAATATATCTTTCTTCAGTTGCTGAATTTTTTAACAGGGAAGTTTCAAATTCATAATGTGATGCTTTTGCTTCTGCTTTGGACAAAACATGGCTTAGGTTATCAACAATTACAGTATTGTTAAGTTCGGTTTAAATGTTAATTTTATTGAATGAGAATGAAAATACTTGCACAAATATTGAAGGAAAATACAATTTAATTTTAAATCAATTCCATTTTTAGCTTAAGTTAGGTATTTCTATGATTCCTTACTTGATAAGTGAAGATACAAATTAATCCTTCTTGAATTGAAAACACAAGTAGATTTGGTTCAATTATGTATCAAATATGTAAATCATCACTAAATCAGAACAGAATAGTGAAAAGATATTCTCAGAGTCTACGGCTTAGATGGAATTGCTTGAAGCATGTAATATATTCTGGGCACCCAGACATCTAAATAATTTAGCCCACAACTTAGCCAAATGGGCTTCCAATCTTTGTGACGTGTAATTTAAATTAAATGTCTAAATGCTCATGGTATTATGGGGAAAATCATTCGTTTTTTTTTTCCAAACATCATGGCACATGAAGATTAGTTATTCTATTAGTTGACATTAATATGTTTTACCTGTCACTCAAGGTAGCATACAGTTTGTCTGTGCCAACTGATTGATCAACCATAGTGCAAATGGTTTCAGATTAATCGCAAAATTGTTATGCTCATGTTTTCTCCTGACTATTAATGTTTTGAAAGATATATTTTATAATAACACTAAAAAGTGCTTTTTTGTTTTTCTTAATAGACTGTTTCTAATCTGCATCGAGGTATGCGAAGGCGCTGTTTAGACTTTGAGATGCTGGCAGCTCGGAGGAAGAACTTTGGTGATGGATCAAGGTCCAGTTCTTCTATTG